ACTTTTTCTGTTACCAAATGGAAGTCTATGCGCCTTACCATATACGCACGGTTCACATATTGTATCATCAAACTTAACTTTAAGATTAAACTCTTGTTCAAGCTTTTTCTTGACGTAACGCTTATCCTGATGACCCCACCTTTCATGGTATAACTGTAAATGATCGTTTGCTTCTACTATTTTTACTGATGCCCTGTTTTGGGACAAAATTGGACTAATATTTGCCTTATACAATGATCCAAACTTCTCTCGAATACCACTCAACACTGTGATGCCGTTTACCAAAAACGAGCAAGTGGTTACGGTGGATCCGAATTCACTGTTTAAATTTTTATCATGGGCAGCCAATGGTGAAAATAAATTTCTCGAAATTTTCGGAACGTACCAAACATCTTTCAATAAAATATGTTGGTTCTTCCCATTGACAATTGAAGAGACCTTGATAGTACCGCTCCCGATAGCAATCAAACGTTCTTCTCCAGCTGCTTTAATTGTGCGCGGATCTTTAAACTCATCAAACGTACAATACCAATCAGAACGACTAGTTACATGCTTAGTAGCCCCATTATCCACAAACCAATCCTCTGAATTTGGTTCAGTAGCTAAAACTTCATTATCTATTGAGACTAAAGCGACCTGAGACTCTGCAGCATTACTTTCAGCATTACTACTGCTACTACTACGTTTAGGACGACCATCTGCGATCCATTTTCTACAACTTCTCACCCAGTGACCCTTCTTTTGACAGTAATTACAGGTATCTTCTTTCTTAAGTTTCGATACAAAATTGAAATTGTCGGTACCCCTCTTTGTCTGCTTATTTGACTTAACCAACAAGGCTACTTGTTTATCACTATCATTACTTGAAGGCTGTCTTATATTTCGTTCGAAAATAATAATCTGCATGGTTAATTCGTCGAATGTTTTAACCTCATCTTTCGTTAACAGCATCCAACTCGATTTAAAATTCTCAAAACTACTAGGTAAAATATGTAAAATTTTACATACCAATAGTAGATCTGGGAGTGGATTTTCATTCTTAGCTTTTAACCCGTTATTCAGCTCGGTCCATAGACTCTTGAGCTTGGCTACGTGTGTGGAAACATCCTCGCCCGATGTCCAACCAAATGAAAATAGCTCTGTACAAATCTTGAACAGCTGATCTTTGGATGTAGCTTCAAACTGCTGTTTTAACGCCTCCCAAGCATCATGCGCCGTAACCTTGTCCATGATTTTCTGATAAACTGTGTCAGAAACTGTACTTGTAATCATTGACTTGGCATAACTATTAGCTTTTCGATACAGATCGCTTGTAGCTTTAAATGCTTTTTCTTCATCTCGTGTTGGATTAGCACTAAGCGGAGTCGGTTTCTCTAGCTTCTTATCCATCTAATGCTCCCTCATGATAATCAAGTAAATCACGAATTTTCCTTTTCCAAATTGGCCAGTCTGACTCACCAGTCAATGGTTTAATGTGCTTTGCTAAATCCATTCTGCTGCTGATGTGTGGATTTAACAACACTTCACAAATACACAATTCGAAACGGAAAAAACACTAAAACGAAGGTCTGCGCCCATAACCTAATATAATTCAACGTTAAACTTTAATGAAAATGATATTATTGATTACAAGATTGAGCGTTATTACATGTGACAGTTACGGTAAAAATTCTAATCTTTTTAAACTATTAAATACGCCGCCTATTATTTTTTTATCTAACACTAACTTTAACTGACTTTAACATGACCGTGGATAACAAAGGCCGGATGGCCCGACTGGAACTTGGTAGGTCGCTAGCCAAATGATGCAAAGGCATTAGTTGTTTTTTCGGGTCTAGGACCTTTCGCCCTATGCCCACAACGCCGACACGATATTCTGATGGTCCATATCGGCTAGTATGCACACTACGCCGACGGACACTACGCCGACCGTGCCCACATCGTCGACTGTTCGAAAAACCATGCCCCTCATACTCTGTCCAGTGTATAAGTTTGCATTTCAAAACGTTTAAAAAAATGTCGTAAACCTACAAATAACCTAATATCCAAAGCTGCTTTGTTTCAAACCCCCTCCAGTAAGAATTTTCATGAGCCTGTAGCTCGAAAAAAAATTCTAAACCTAAAATAACTTAACGTCAAAAGCTCTGCATGGTGTTGCACACCGTCCAGCTTCATTAACAAGTGTTGTATGAGTCGACGTTATGGCCAAGTTCGGTTTAGTGTCCCTTGTACACTTGTCGGCGATGTGGGCACGGTCGGCGTAGTGTCCCTAAGTCGACAATATGAATCATTAAAAAATCGTGTCGGCGTTGTGGGCATTCGGCGAAGTGTCCCGGCTCCGTTTTTTCTAATGTTGGAACGGAAATTTTTTGATCCTTTAAGTTGCTCCGGATAGTGCTGCTATTTTTACAGCACCATGGCCGCTAAATAATGAATAGTGGCCTTCAGTTTCTTCTGCTTTAAAATGTATAGCGTTGCAAATACTAATGCAGGTGAGGTCGTATAGTAAGATCCCGTACGGATCGGTGGGATTTTGGGAGATGCCTGTTTTGTCGCTTCATTGCCGAATTTGCTTCACGCTGTTGTGGTGTAATTTTTTCTCGGGCTAGTCTTTGTTTCATTGCTCTACTTTGCCGTTGCTCTATTGTCATTCTCTCTTTAACATCTCGTTTTGGCCGCTTTAGATTCACGTTGTCCCACGGTAATTTTTTTCGTACAACTTGTTTCTTTACGGCGCGGCGCGCGGCGTCAGCTTTGCGTTGTTCACTCGCTCTCCGTTGGCTTCTAATCCTTTCATTTTCCGTTGCAGTTTTTCGCTGCCTTGGTTTCCGTCTAGTTGGCATACTGCGTGATTCCTCAGATTGTTGAAGCTCTACTTCAAGACGCATTCTTTTATTATCACTAGGCCATTTTTGTACACTACAATAATTAAATCTTTGATGTTTATTTTAACTTCATTGTGATGCCATTTCTATTGCAATTGTAAAGCGTATTGCGCCACTGACGGTCATCTGCAGCATATGCAACGCGTGTTTGTGCTATGTACAACGTGAAGTATATCGTACAGGCGTCCCCACCACAAGTCACAACATCAATGCACCACTCCGCGACCCGGACAATATGATGTCCATAAGTCCGTTACATAAGCAATAGTGAAAATATTCGTAATCCTTGGCATAATTCGCTAAACTATTGCGAACTAATTAGGAGCTTACTTAACAGTCCTACATAATAGCACAGATCTAAACACTCTAAATCTGTGATAATAGTCACTTACGTAACGAAGCATTGTGAAGTTGTTATGATAACTATATTTTCGACCGCCATAAAAGGTAGTTATTATGCTTGAGTTGCATATAGGTATAACCGAGGGTATAACAGCAGTGGCAGTTCTACCGTTGAGTGAAGAATAGAGGAAGAGGCGCAACGCCTGTACTTGAAATCGTGCCGAAGTAGGCGTCCGAGATTTACACAGCGCCTTTGAATATATTTTATATTCAAAGACAGCGCTTATGGAATCTCGTATGCCCGACGACAAGTTGCGACTCGGCGTTCCAGTACGTTGGATAGAGATAGAAGAAACCACTATGGAGGTTGCGCCTCTTCCTATATTCTCACTCAACGGTTCTACACTTTCATTCGATATATCATGCTATCAGAGACCAAGGTTAGTGGAGAGAGTAGGTTGCCTCGTAACTTTAGAGAGACGCGTCATCGAGAATCCGGAAGTCATATTTGATTGGTGTTTAAATTTTCGTTGACTTTGACAGTTACATTTGAACTGTGTAAGTACTTATAATTGTCAGACAGTGCTGAAGAATCAATTACGAATACTTATTTTAATTCCATTGAATACTTACTGTTACTTAAGTAGGTATCAATATAGGGTATTAGATGCCGGATGGAAATCTTTGTGACGTTGTTATATGCAATAGCAGCTGGAACAAATCGAAAGCAAATGGATCGCAGATTCAGTTTTTGCTTTTCCAAAAGGTAATTCCTGTATTACAAAAAGAATGGGTTATAAAGTGCAATGGAAAGGGGAACCTGAACCCGTATGCAATAGACTGTGCAGTCTGCATTCCCGACCGAAGACTATGAAGATGAATTAATGTAAGCTGTTTTGAATAAAGTGCGTTTAATATTTCGCTAGCATGTTTCTTTCTATGCAATGCATAACCATGTAAATTGTAAAGTACCATTTGGATCCATTTTGCATTTTTTGAACTTGCTCTGTTGTTGTTGCCGTTAATAATTAATTTTTATGATGTGGACAAAATGGGATTCTGGGTGACGTCATTCGCGTATTTTAATACTGAACGTTTATTGGCTGAAAGTTATGAGGCAACCTACTTTCTCTATTAACCTTGATCATAGACTATGTTATAATTATAATAAAGATACCCGTGAAATGTGGATAGTAAAATGGCAATTACAGCATATAGGTTCACAATTATGTTATTTACAATCCACGCATAGGTACACGGTTTTAATAGTTCCAAAAAAGTTATTAAAAATCATTTCCTTATCCGTACGCTGCCTCGCCATGCAGTGGAACTCATTACTTCCCTAAAATAGTAATAGAATAGCAAACCGGACAGATTTAATATTAATCGTGAAAAATTCAAAGGAATGGCACCTTGAAGTATTTTCATCAGACAAACAATTAAAACATTCAATAGAGGACAATTATTAATCAGACGAGTAGAATTTCCCACTATTATTCAGCTCTTTGATGAAAGGATCAAAATCTGTGCTAATTGGCGCTATTGTATCTGTAACGTAGAAAGTCAAAGGGAAGCGTAATGAAACGAATTTGAAATGAGAAACGTTAAGTAAAGTAGGTAAAAGCTTTCATGTTACCCTAGTGACACTTAAATCTTGAAATAATTAAATATGAAGTTTAACGCATAGGGGGTTTTGTTATAATTATTTTAACATGTCGCCGTGCCGTCTATAAGTTAATTAAGTTATTAAAGTTTCTGACAAAATTTATTGCTTATGTACACTACAAGGTCATATATCTGGTACTTACATATATTCATACAAGGATTCGTTGGTGTCGCCATCCGGCCAAGCTCCGTAGCAAATAATTCGTTGTTGTTCTTCACTATATTGTTCCACATAGGTTGTGTAATAGAATAGAGAAGGACTTGAGATCGCGATTCCCAGTAACCAAGTACTCATTGCCAAACACAATGTTACTGTTCTGCCCATCCGAGGTCGCAATGGTGTCATGATCGCCATATACCTAAACGAAATAATACATTATTGACTTTATTTGTATTGTATTACTAAAGGGAACAAGCCACAAGTTCTTTCACAGCAAGACTTCTGATATCTGTAGTTAGAATTACAAACAAATAACTGTTTCATTTTTAGAGAAATATAAAAGACATCCATTTCAAATAACGTATTTGATTTAAACAATGAAATCCAATATACAAACATCTAAAAACCGCTCAATCGTGTTTAAGAGAATCTAACTGTTACGTCACGTTAAGCCCCCCAGGGGCCCCAGGTACGAGCATGAAATTGATAAAAATGGCTGGAGGACAAATTTGCCCAAGAAACCCTAAATATTCCACAATCTTGATAGAAAGTTTACATAATTTCGTCGAAATGTGAGGTTATATGTTACAGCATATTTCATGATTACTTTTGGGCGCGGACCCACATGGCCCCATGCCAAATCCGACCCTGGTTGTGGATACAACTTCGTCTTTAATTTGTACGTTCCATTTCTTTTTACTAATTCTGAGAATTTCCCTTTTTTAGTAAAAAATGGTTTAATGTATAAATTGTTTAAACAATGAAAATCTAATTTGGGTACAAATTAGTTTTTAATTCATAGTTTTTGATGCGACTAATAAATTTTCAATCGGAAAAAGTGGAGGTGCTAACTGGATCTCTAGTTACCACCCCCCTCCTAGAATCGGTTTTCCGGTGGGACCAAGCGGGTACAGTTTTAATTTTGTGGGTACAAATTAGTCTTTAATTAGTCCTAAATTATAGGCATATTTTTACTTGATTTCGGCAAAGTAGGGGTGCCTGGGGGGGTGCCAACTTTATCGACCTTAAGTGAAGTATATTCTTAATAGATTAGGACCTGGAAATCGGCGACATTAGATTTTATACTTTTAATCGGATCCGAATCTTTTGAGTTTTAAAACGGAATTTTTATCAGCACATAAAACTGCAAAAGTTTCCCAATGTAAACTAATATCTATCTCCAAGAGAAATAAAGTTACCCAATCCCACCTGGGACAGCCTGTGTAGATTAAAATTTTTCATCCGAAAATTTTAATAAAATTATTTATTGCTTGGTGCCATTTTCAAAAGTACTCCGTCTACTCTCCCTAGTTTTCTGTTAACTCCGGCTCACAAGCAACAAAGTCAAGGGTAATTGTGCGTACATTTGTTATTGAACCCTTTCCAGTTACTTGATTATTTACAAAGAATATACGGGGCAGGTTCAATAAATACACGTTCGAGCGTTGAATTGACAATTGTTAGATATTAATTGACAATAGTTAGATAATAACTGACAATTGTTAGATACTAATTGACAATTGTCAGATAAGAACTGACAATTGTTAGATAAGATTTAAAAGATCTTGGCCCCACAGCGCTTTCGTAGTAGACACCTACATTACTGACGACCGTCTTATGTAACTTTCTGCGGTTATAGCAAAACTAACATTCGTGCTACAGCGTTCGAACGTGTATTTATTGAACATGCCTCGTAAATAACTTCCGTTGTGTTATCAATTAATTATAATTTCGATTTGATGCAAAAACAAAAGTTTACGTTTCGCAGTGTTCAGTTTGTACCTTCAACTGAATACAAAGTAAAGCTAAAACACCAATAAACCACAATATTTTAATCAAATCCGCGCTTCAACAGAAAAATGCCTTCACCGGAGAACAACTATTCCTTTTCTGTTGAAGCTTATATTACAATTAGCAGACTAAATGTACAGTGTTTCTTCTCTTATATCACAGATTTAAGTATATTTAAATCTGTGCTTATATATAATAGATTTAGATCGTAAGACTTGAGAATATTAAACGTATCACTAATGAATACCTCAAGAATCTAAAGACGAATTGATAATTTCCAGAGCCCTTACAGTGCTTTACAAGTAAAAACGAGTTACCTTACGGTGTTTGCTAATATATAAAATAACACAACAAATAACTCGTTTTTATTAAATCTAATAGATAAGTATATAATGGAAAACTTCATCAAATGCTTTACAAGCTTGAAGTTTGTACAATCTGCAACATCTTAAGAAATTAAGAATTCTGCTAAACTTCAGTACACATGCTCATGGTCTTCGAACACACAATATAAACTTTGGAAGCTTTGGGGACACTTGACTTTCTCAAAATATCTTGAATCACTAAAATCTTTAGAATTAACGAGATTCCGAGAAACGTGTAGTCTTTGAAATACATTAGACTACCGTCTTAAAAAAATCGCTAGATCTTTGGAACCTTTAGATCCGTTATAATCCTTTGACACCTTTGGAATCTGTGAACAGTGTTTAAGATCTTTAAGACACTTAAAAACTCTAAAACTATCAAAAAGATTAGAAGTCTTATGAGATCTCAAAAGTTACCGAAACTCTAGAAAGTTGATAAGCCGTAGAAGTTTTTTAAAGACTAAAAGATTCAGGAGCTCTAAATGTTTCGAAATCTCATGCTTCTTAGCATATTCAAATTTAGTTTATTTAGGATTTCTAGGACCCTTAAGATCTTTTATTATCTTTAGGATCTGTAGATTGCTTAGATATTTTAAATCCGTAGATTATTTACGAATTCTTGAATCTTTAGAACCCTTAACATTATTCTTATGATTGGCATTTCTTGAATCAGTAAGATACCTATGATCTTTTTATCTTCATTATCTTTAGGATCTTGAGATCGCTAAAATTTTTACAATACCTTTAGGAGATTTAGGAATCTTCGCATCTTTAGAAATCTTAATACCATTAAGATCGTTAGGATTTTCGGACCTCTCTGAACTTCAGGATCTTTAGTATCTTTAGATTTGTTTAGGATCTATATTACTGTGAAAATGTTTAGGACTTTGAGGACCTTTAGATTTTTAGTACATTTGTATTTCTTTAGGATTCTTGGAACCCTTAAAATATTTTACATTTTGACGATGTTTGAGATTTTTTTGGTTTCTGAAGATCCTAAGGTTATTTGAGCCTCTAAGATTTACAGGACCTTTATATTTTTGGAATACCTTTTTTAGGATCTTTGGGATATTTAGATCTTTAAGATCTATAGGATTTTTAGGATCTGTTCAGAAACTTTACAATGTCTAGAATCCTTAGAACACAGCGAACCCTTAATCCTTATAATCCCAGAATTGTTAGACTCCTTAGTATTCTTAGAACCCTAGGATGCTTAGAATTCGTGAAATCCTTAAAGTCCTTGGAACGCTCGGAATCCTTAGAATCCCCAGAATCCTTAGAATCGTTAAAATCCTTAAAATCCCTAGAATCCATAGAAACCTTAGAATCCTCAGAATCCTAAAATCCCTAGAATTCGTAAAATATTTAAAATCCTTAGAAACCATAGAATCATTAGAATCCACAGAATCCATAGAATCGTTAGAATCCATAGAATCCTTAGGATGCTTAGAATACTTAACATCCTTAGAATCCATACAATACTTAGAACTTAGAATGCTTAGAATACTAAAAATCCGTAGAATCCCTACAGTCCTTAGAATCCTTAGAATCCTTCGAATTTGTAGAACCCTTAGAATACCCAGAATCCTTAGAATCCATAGAATCCCTAAAATCCTAAGAATCCTTAAAATCCCTAGAATCCTTAAAAATTTTAGAATCCTTAGAATCGTTAGAAACCTTTTAACGCTTAAAACCATTAGAATTATTCGAACCCTTAGAATCATTAGAATCCTTAGAATCATTGAAATCTTTGAACCTTCGAAATTTTTGAATCTTGGGAATCTTTGGAATTATTGAATCTTAGAATCTTTCATAAGATCACAAGGCATAAAGGAAAGGCTGTGGTTTGGATATAATGGTTATTATTAAAGAAGAAGTAGTCTTGTTCTGAGCAAAGTTGGCGAGATGCAGAAATGAAGGAGCAGATGTGGTCAGGAAGCGGAGAATTGGTAAGGTTTTCGCCTATAATTTGTCAACAGTCTGAAAAAGGAATACTTGGGAATAGGTTGACAATATTAAAGGATGAATGAAGGATGAATCTTTGAACCTTTGAATCCTTGAACATTGAATCTCTGATTCTCTGAAATCTTTGAATCTTCCTTCAGATTCCTTCAGATTCTATTAGATTCTTTAGATTCTTTTAGAATCTTTAGAGTCACTAGAATCTCTAGAATCTTTAGAATCTGTCAGACCTTCCGGGTGTTTAGGATCTATATGAACTGTGCGGTCTTTAGGATCTTCAGGATCCCTAGGATATTTAGGATCTTTAGATCTGTTTGGGACGTATAATGTTGGTAAATACCATTGAATAAGTACACAGACAAGCTGGGTGATTTACACCGCTGCCATAGGCGTCAAAGATTTTTTTAAATATAACGAGTGCGCCGCTTAATTGACAATGCGGTTAAAAAAAGTACTAAAGTAGTGCCCGATTGCCTACCAATAACTTTAAAATACGTCGGGCAAAGATACCACATTCCAATGACAGATCTACTGAACCAAATCATATGGTCTGATCGACACTATCTTGCAATGTGTACTGACCCTTTCTACAGCGTCCAAACTATACGCAACTTTTTAATTATATTAGTCTCGACAAGGTATCCCTAATTTAAAATTTTGTTGATCTGGATACAACTGGCTATAAAAGGCATTCGTTCATGAACGTAAATTTATCCAGTGAACAATTACACACGGTTTACGGACGTTTACTTTCAACCGTTACTAGGATAATTAAAAACAGCACATTTCAGTCGAAAGGTGTCGTATGCTAATGTGATCCCTAATCGTGTAATAACAATTTTAAATTAAAAGCCCTTCTTTACGGGACACGCAATTACTTTTAATGGTTTAAATGTGTTAAGGTTTATTTGCTCGGTAACGCACGTTTGGCGTTAATCTTGCCTCTTAAAATAAAATATATACATTCAAGAAATGGGGATGATATTAGATTGCTTACCAAAAAATATATACATACCTATCGATTGAGATGGCCATGAGAGAAAAAACGGAAGCGCATATCGATAAAACGGCTATAAATTGAGATATCTTGCAGTATAAACTTCCAAACGGCCAATGCGAGTTAAGCATGTATACGTAGTTAAACGTCACATTTAAGGTAGATACCATCGCGTCTGCTACCGAAAGGTTCACTGGAACAAATTAACTTGTGTGATTACTAGGTACATACAATTTAAAGTGGAAGTTAGTTTACTAGTAGGTATTTAACTTGTGTACTTTCACATTCCTTTAATTTTTGCAATGAACAGGGGCTGTAACCTACTGCGTGATTACCTGGAGATTACATGTATTGTTGCGGTTAGTTAAACACAACTCAGTTACGTCTGTCTAATTAGGTATCTAGTCATTGACAAGGTTTGAAGGTTTACAAGTATAACTAAGCAGCTGTTCAAGTTCAATGTATTTTGCGGCACGAAGGAGAACTTTCATAAAACAAATCATAAAGGAGTTCCCTACACGCAGAGAACTTAGATGAAATTGTCTAGACAGATAATTTAACGAAAACTATCGATAAACTACCCTCCCCAGCGGTAAAGCTATATTAAATCTTTCTTGTAAAGTTAGAAGTTAGACAAATATACGGAAAATGCGATTTTTTACTTTTTTTAAGTGTACATCTCCGTGACTATCAGTTTTAGAAACAGAATTTGAAAAAGTAAATAATAGGCAATTCAATTGTCTATATCTCTATAACATTGAGAAGATGAGGAAATTGTGCATTTTGCATTTGACCACTTACTAATCATCCTTGACAATTTTCTACCGGACCGTTACGTTGGTAAGGTGCCCCCTTCTATTCACTGGATTATAAATAACGCCAGCTTCTGCAGAACGCGTCCCCACTTACGCCGAGAAAAACGCGCACATCTTCGTAAAACACCTGCACCTTGTTATCAGAACCACATGTGGATTAATTAAATAAAATTTCTTATCGCCAATGACCAGATATAACCTTTTGTAACTAATGCAAAATTCGACCAGATGTGTCTTACTTACTTCTAGCACCTTATCTAAATTGAACAATGAACAATTTCCAAAAGCGATAAAACTAAAACATTACCTATCTACACTAATTTTAAGCAACTTTTAAAGAATAAAATTGTTTCCCGTGTGTATGTACGTACATACGCATGTTGGCAATTTTCCGAGAAAACGGCTCGACGGATTTTGTTCCAATTATGGAAATGTATATTAAGCATACGAAACAGAAAAATAACCAGCCGATACCGGCACCCAAACCTGAGGAGGTCCACCACCTTCTCAAAGGGGATCGTTCCGCCCACCACCGGCTCGCCCGCGCGTAGAATTGGACTGCACAATACCACAGATCTCCACCTGCCGCTCTCTCGCTACTCGCCGCCCAAGAAACGGAAAATCGAAGCGATAATGACCGACCGCATTTTCGAACCAATCACCTTTAGCTACTCCCCATCGTAATTGTCCAAAAGAAGGACGGCAACGCTCGGTTATGTGTTGACTACCGCAGATTGAACGGCTGCATCTGGGACGAAAGCTCGACTCTGCCGCTCATCCGCGAGACCAGCTGATCCGGGATGCAGGACCCGCCAGCGAAGGTCAAAGGGCGTTCCTTCGAGAGTACATCATCCTCGAAGAGTAGCTATTACAAGATAATTCTCAGATCAGGTGCTCACCGTCCTCAAGGATAGCCGCACGATGTCGTCCTCGACGCGTATCAATCACGACGCTCCCACCACCGGGCACTAAGGGTTCGAAGAAACCGCCAGGGCTATATCACAAACTTATTACTTCCTCAAGATGCACTCGAGCTCGGGATACTATTATATATCTGGAGCGGGTTGACCTGCACCGCCGTGAAGAGGGGATCAGTTCACGGCGCAACCCACACTTCCATGGGAGTCAGTGGCCGACATAACGGAACCTTACATCACCACGTCCATCGGATTCTGTCAAATCCTGGTGATCACGTGGATGGAAGCATTTCCAATGCGACAAGCAACCTACGTCACAAATACACTGATGCAGGAAGTCTTTGCGAGGTTTGGATTTTCAAGTCAACCTCAGTTCAACTCCGAAATCAGGAGGTGAAGAAGGGATTGAGCACGCAACTCGTTATAGTCTCAATATATTATTATGGATTCTATTAGTTAGAATACCCCCCTAAATTAAAAAAAATTGGAATAAACATAAGAATGAAATCTACTAGATGGTTCTTAATCTCCTCTAATCTCAGAACTGTATTTTTTCGGTTATTCTATACACGGTACAATGGCATCTTTACTTTTTTGTTGCTTTGAGAAATAAAGTACCTACGCTAATATCAATTATTTAGTATACAGTAAAGAATAAACTAAGTAATATTTGTTTCAATTGCGACTTCCCCCTGGCCGCTGGCGCTGTCATATGTTAATTACGGGTAGGTAGGTATCGCTTGTTAGACTAAATAGGTTTTATGATAAAGACATTGATTGACAAGTAATTTTCTGGATGTCTGTCTTGCATAATCCAAGTCCATTTGTAACGCTTTTGTTGTTTAATTACACATATTATATTAAGCACCATGGCGTGTTAATTGCATCAGTGTTGCGATTCCTTTCGTTTTTACTGCATATAATATACTGCAGGACGAATTAAAATGGTTAACCCACTACAATATTTAGATAGCGTTTTATGTGTTAAATTAATGCCAACAAGCAACCTTAATTACGATCAAATAATTCAAGAGGGGAAACATAATTATACCTTATATAATAAGTGGTTGACTCCTGTCCTATTGTTTGAAAGTGCCGCGAAACCTAATTAGAACGGCTTATATACTACCATTATTTGTTTACGTTTAGCTTAAATTTAATACAAATTCTGGTACCTAATGTACAACTTAAACTCAAGAAAGCACATTCACAGCCTCTTTTAAATACAAAGTGTCTTGACAAGCACTTAAAAGAGAACAAGTAAAAATGTTTTATCTGTGTTAATTAAAGTGTACCTACAGTTGATTTCATCTAAATGGCATTCTTTATGAGAATAATATAATATCCTTTATTGAAGAGCACGATATTACCATTTTTCCTTTAATAATTTCGATACAATCGTCGTAACAGAACCGTTCCGTTGAAAGTGGAAGTTTTCTTTCCTTTGTAACAGCTGTTCGCGATAGTTCCATAACTTCCATTCCATTGTGTCAAACTGACAATGGATTAAAGAATGCCTCATCTCCAATTTTTTACGACGATCAAGTAATCCGGTATGTTTAGTGATTTATTTACAAACTGAGTTGCTTACGTTTACAAATTAGTAGATACAGATATCTCTGCTTCTCCCTCAACGCTATTATCGCAGATTTAGATGTACACAACACAAACAACAGATTGCTAACCTTATGCATTTTATGGGTAACCCATTTATAAGAGCGTCTTATATGGAGCAACGTTATAAACATGTACCCTAGCATGTACCTTTCAAAGTTCTAAAATTACGCTTATGGATTTATACATTAGATGTCGCTGAAAAAGAATATAAAGCGAATAAAGCCATTGTTCAAAGAAATAATGGTGGCTCATCTTACCTCCTATCTCTATCCATGGACTTCGAAATGTCCAAACTTGAGCGCTTTAAATTTTTTACAGCGACATCTAATCCATAAATCCATAAGTCATTTTACAGTTTCAAACGCTATATGTATAAAATTGCAGCTCAATAGAGGGCGCTTTTACGTATACCTTTACAATTAAATTATTGAAAACCATCACATTTGTTGGCCATGACAATTCAATGCCATGATATAACCAGACCCAAATCCCTTTATATAATAATACAGGAAGCACAGTCCGGTGTGGAGTGACGAAAAATTAGGGACTAAATTAAATATATTACCAAGGTTATTTAATATCTGAGATATGTTCGATTCGTACCTAACTATTCCGTGAGGGAAGTTTGATTGTTCGCTGTATCTGTTACTGTCTTATTCCTGGCGTGCTACAGTTCTTGTGCGTTAGCTATAGGAAGGGGGGCTCTCTTATTTGATGGTTCGATGTTTGTGTGTGTGTGTGTGTGTGAGTGGTTCATTCTGTCTCCATGGAGTAGATACCTAATACAGTTTAATCTTACGCTGTATTTATTGCCTACTCGTTTCATGCGGATTGCAGTTCTTGCCATCTTAGCAATGCGAGATATTTAGGGGCCCCCTCATTAACATTTCCTCTATTTAAAATATGTTTTGCTTGAGCGATAATCGATTTTCACACGAATGCTTGTCATTGGCATTCTCACATGTACTTTTCGTGTTAGCTTAATTGATCGTACAGGTATTTTGATGTGTTTTTGTACTGCATTTATGATGTCTTGTGTATTTTGATTTTATGAACTTGTTTAATTGTATTTAATTTACGCGCATTTTCTCTTGCATTTTATTGCTGCAGGTGATTTATTTCATATATTTGTGTGGTCTATGCCGGGGTTTTTGTCCAGTAGAAGGTTTCCCTGGTATGGTCTTGTTCTGTGCGTAATATATTTATTTGTTCTTGTCAGTTCTTACGCACAAAGGTTCTGTTTTTTATTTAATTCTCTTCCCGATTATGTTTCACGACCCAACACATACAAGAACCGATTACACAACGTAGGAGTTCTTCGTTCCACCCATATCGAGTCGACTGCCATCCAAATTCAAAAGTACCGCGAAACGTCCACCGTTTCGACTTGAAAGGTGGCTCTGCTCGTAGTTTTTTCCCAGAGTTGCCAACGGTAAGTATAGGGTAAGTCAATATTTCCAGTACCGCTTGAGGAACCTTTAGGACCATTACAATATACAACATTTTTTCTATAACTGAACTAATAATTCATTAAATTTGCTGTTTAGTACAACTTTGTTCGTGCGCGGAAGACTTTTTATTATACCTGAATCACACAATCTCCGTTTTAATAGTTAGGTATTATACAAGACGATAAAGGGATATTTTAACCATTGAGTGAAAGATATTAATTCATGAGTGGCGCAGCTACCAGTGAATTAACTTTCACGTTTCCTTTTATCGTCGTGTATAAATACACAACTTTATTTTATAGCAGAAGCCATATAAATCATTGTAAAGCTTCTGACAATTCTGAATTTAATTTAAAGACGTCAAAAATAGCAAGCTTAGGTTCTGCCGTCGCGATCGTTGCTATAGAAACATAATTGTCATATGTTCTGGACGTCATTTTACATCGTGCATTTGAAATAAGAGTGACAGATGTCATTAGAATGCACCCTCATCTGTTTCCCTTTATTTACTCTTACGGTCTTTTATTTCAATGCTTACGGTTAAAGCACAACAACCATGTATATGTACAAGCCGTGCTGAGAATTATGGCAACACTGCAGGTAGAGGCGATTTCCGAATTCAACTTGCTAGAGTTCAGGTGTATTTTGGGTGTAAAGGCGCATTTAGACGTATTCAGTAACTGGCGCCAGTCTCACTGGCTTGCCAGCACTGGCATATTACTGGCATCGTGTAAATACTTTATTGTGCCAGTCCAGCACTAGCCAGCGCTGGAACGAATAGAAAGCGCGTCTATTTTTCTTGCCAGTAGCTGCCAACCCCGTACCCCCAACACCCGCGCCAGTGTTGCAGGCAACGTCTGAACACTTTGGCGCCAGTCGATGTCTCGCTGTCATAACCTACGAAGGCTGATTATTGGCGTATTGTTTATTATTTTTTTCATAAAAATGCGTAAATTCACTGAAAAGGAAACTTTTAAGCTTGTTGTACTACACAGAGAGCAGGAATGCTTATGCAATAGAGAGCCAAGAATTGCGGCCAGTGAGACTAGCGCCAGCTACTGGATACGTCTAAACGCACCTTAATAACCCTATTTACCTAAAATCGTCCTGAAACCTTCATTTTCATGTCTACTTTTTGTCAGGAAATTTTAGTTGTCCGATGAGACACGATTTGTGGCTGTCAACCTATAAATTAACAAACGTCAATTAATTAATTGCCCAGATATGGCATAAAAGGCAAACCTATTCTAATTCGTGGACGTATAGAAGATACTCAAGAGTATTTAAAGCTTCCCGTACTACGCGGTTACCATAAAAGCTACTCTTTACGCGATCCGAGTGGTGTTTACACGACTTTAGTTTCCCTGAGATTCACATACCCACGACTACAGTGCCCTCTATCCGTGACCACCCATTTTGTATTGAAAGCATAGGGCTAATAGCAGTCCATGTACTATATGGTCTAAGGATAGGCAGCTAATGTGCGATTGCGATTTATGCGTACACGGATGTACAATTTCTGACGTTAACATGAGTATTTCAGTTCGCGCGTAAACGCCTCCACTGTGAGATAAGCCTTAATACTTATTAATTAATCGTTTAAAAATCTAGTACTTCGTGTTTGGAAATTCGTCAGAAAATGACAGGTCTTTTTGAAAGTTGTAGAAAAATAACTAACGGGAGATCAAAAATAAGTTGCTGTCGAGTCGCCTTTGGAAGTTCAAATTAAATACGATTTTCCATGTAAACAAAAATTTCAAAGGCGACTCGACAGCAACTCAGTTTTGATCGCATAATTAATTTGTTTTGCAACGTTTTCAATCGTACCTACTTATATTTGGTAGGTTAGGTGTTTTGTGCGCTGTAAAGTATGAAAAAAATCCAGATTACTTACATAAAAAATAGTTGGTGACGGTTCGCATTCTTTTATGTGCCAGAACTATCCAAATAACTATTAAATTTCCACCTGTTGCTACAAGGACCATCCCCGCATACAGAATGCTCCAAAGTATTTGTCTCCAAACTGGCAAAATAAATTTATTGGCATCCTCTGAAAAAGAACCAAATATAAACTTATTGTTAATACATTAAGCAATAGCGCGCAACTTCAATAATAATTTATCAGATTTATAGTAGAGATTAGCCCTAAATCCGCTATTAATCAAATCTTTGAATGGCACTCGATCTTGTCAGAAAACTTTTGCTTTCTTTTGTCGTGTTATAAAAGATTTTCCAACAAAGGAAGGGCCCAGTGCATTTCGAACATATAGTAGCTTTATTGTGGCAAGACTTATTTACGACGAACTAAAACCCTTAACTGTTTTGCTGGTAATAAAGTGAAATTGTAGCATTTTAGACGAAGAATAAGGATTACTCGTAGACTAGACGAGAAAAAATTTGGCAAATTAAGAATTTCGTGAAAGAAATTGGCTGTAATAGAGTGACTTTTACAGATTGTGATTTTTTTTATTGCTGCCTTTGCAATTTATCAAGCGTGTAACAATCGTCGCCCTTAATGCTGGGTGTCTTTGGAACAACTTTGCATCACCTGCTCGTTCGTCTAATTTAAACCCGTTACAGAAATGAGGTACTTCGATAAATCATAAAGTGGAATTGTGTCGTGGCAATTTATTTGTCGTTGGCGTTGCTAATAATAGTAATATTGGAAACTACTAATATACAGAGATTTCTAAGATACCTATTGTAGCGAACATTCCAGTAATTTCTACTTGAAATAAAGGAAAATCAAACGCCAGTTTCAAAATTAGGTTTTGCACATGCGCAGTGCCAACTTTTTTATTTATGTAAGCATTTAAATGAAATTTGATACATAGGCGCTTGGAACAAAGGAAAATCTGCTACACTTACACGCTTCCGTTCAAAGCCACATTCAATGGACACGATCACGAGCACGAGCATGTAAATGGGTTGCTCGCCTCTGCTCGCCTCTACTTGCCTGCTTTTGCCTGTGCTCGTCAAGTCGTCACCGATCCGGACTAGTGTCGGTTTTTCAACACGGTTCAAAGGGTGAATTTGTTTGCGCTCGTGTACCTGTTTACATGCGTTGACGGGCTTGGTGCGATTTCTATAAATTTTTATCATCCACCACCTTCTCCGAGCTCTTCGTCTCTTTTCAATTCGTCGTTGTTGTTTTTTCCAATAAAAGTAGGTATGTCAAACCGAACGGAACAGCTGCAATAACCTCTACGTCCGCCATGTTTGGTTGTGAGCTTGTTCTGAGTTGTGCTCAGATGCGTGTGAACAGCTTGCTTTGTACGCGGGGATTCGCCGAGCAGCTTACCGAGATGTTTGCCAGGCTGCTTGCCGAGCGTGTAAACGCAGCATAACGTTATTTTCAAAATTTAGATTTGCGCATGCGCAATTCCAACTTTCTTATTTAGAAGCATTGAAATGAAATTCTTCTTATAAACAGAAATTAAAGTAGCACGTTAAAAATGGATTGCACATGTGAAACGCTATCTTTCATATTTGTGGCCGGATTTTTACGATTTTAACAGAAGTTGCATCTTACAAATGGGACATGAATACAAGTGGAAATGCGCTTTTTGTAAATCGTTTACGATTACTTTTTAACTTGTTCTCATTATAGCTACACATAAAACATGATTTTACTACTCGAGAAATTCTTTATTATGTTGCTTTTCACGTTTAATGTAAACCTCTCCAGAATCTGCTCATTGCTCAATTTACCAGAAACACCATTCCATTTTTTCCGGTTTTTCGGTATAGATCAATAGCTTCACCACCAACAATATCACAGTAGATAAAATTAAATACAAATTTCGTTCGAACTTGGAGCTTTTCCAGGCATATTAAAGAATTTTTAGCAAACGAATGAAAGAATGGCCATTAAATCATTCGTTATTTTATTCGAGCGAATACATCTGAATGCGAACATTTTTGTACCCGCACGCTGAATTTTAATTATTAAATGGGAAAGGATAACGATAGTAATTTATTTTATGTTTGCTGTGAGAATATGAACGTTTACGTGCAAAATAGAACGGAATGTAATAAATGTCCTTCTTGTCCAGTAACATTAGTTGGAAAACTATTTCCTTTTCTATAATCGATAAATTTAATATTCGCTAGAGAAACAGTGCGAGAAGAAAGTGGTATGTAGTTTACGGGCAGTTTAAGTTTTATCTTAGGTATAGATTATGTTTCCTCATGCTGTAACACAACACTCGTCATAAAAACTTTCTGCTGCTAACGCACCCCAATTTGACTTTATGAAAGAGGCGTGTTACTCGGGGTAGCAATTATTTCGTTCTTTGCCCTCCGAAATAAAAAATCTTAGCTTCATAGATTTTAAAAAAAGAGTAACAAATTTACTAGTATAGATATACAGGAGTACTATTACTACTGTCGCTCACATACACAGCGAGTCTATAATAAAGTGTTTCTTTTTGTCCTTACTTTGTAACTTTGTTTTTAGCGTATTTTTCTCAAAGTGAAAATCGCTATTGGCTGCACCTTGTCGTCCGTCCGTCCGTCCGGCACACGTACTCCGTCTACACCTGTTTGGTCTTCCCAATATATTTGATTTTTTTGTTATGCCAAACAATATTTTTATTTATTTTTGTTTAATTATTAGAAACAGCGAGAGAATTTATTTCAATTTGTTTGAATATTAAGTATTTAGTTTGAATGTTGTCTGAACACGTTGAGCTGGATACTCGCGACCTGGGAAGGAGCTTGCGTCGTTTGGTCGACATAGTGGGACATTATTATTACGTTTTTCAGTTTTTGACGTTTAAGTTAAGTTTATGTTAATGTGCTGCTCCTCTCGCATCTTTGCTACCGAGACGCGACTGCATTGCTGGGATCCATTAAAACAAAGGCGAGTGCTTGCTCAACGCGGTCGCTTTTTTGCACCCGCTTAATTTTATCACACCGCTTAAACATTTGTGGTCCTTCGAGCCAGTTTGGGCGATATATGGCTCATTTGAAAGGGCTTGGTCCAAGGATTCCGTGCATATCGATATCTTTTGGTTTTGCGCCTGCGCAGTGTCAAAAATTTGGATTAACGCATGTGCAATGCTAATATAACTTTTTTATGTCTTACTAACCTATCATAGCACATTTTATATCTGTGATACGCGGGCATAAAGTACCACTTTATGCCCTAGGGCATTAAGTATCACCATAGTAACTCATTTATACGTAATGACAAAACAAACAAATATTTGCAGGTCATTGAAAATTAGAAACGTCAATTATTAATTGTCAATACCTACTAAATCACAAGATTGGCCTTATAACAGTTTCTGGAACTTCCTCCTCATTCACAATGAATTGAATTATTTAAAATTACGTTTGACGTTTGGGTGGTTTCAATCACATTAACAAATTCGAACCACGCATACTCGATCAAACATAATGAATTATTTTGTAAACGAATTTTGACGAAGAAAACTATTTGTAAGACATAAAATTGTGTATGCACCACGGGCATAAACTGATGTTTATACTCTCGGGCGACTAAAAAGTTCTCGGGCCATAGGCCCTCGAGCTTTTTAACTCGTCGCCCTCGAGAATATAAACATCACTATTATGCCCTTAATCTCCGTTTTAAACACTCGAATGCGTGCGAAAAAGGACCTTTAAAACACACGTGCTTTAAAGTTGCTAAGTAACGATACTTCAAGTATGACTTTTGAAACTGTCATCTGGATGAAATAAAAAATCCTCTTAGGTCGCTTTCTGTAAATGCAGAACATTTCTTTGGCTTTTGTACCTATCCTTTGGTTGAAGCTTTCACAAACGCGCGTAATTTAGGGTATGCTTCCAAATCTGTTCCACTTTTTAATCGCAGCATTGCTTTAAAGTTTTGAATGAATGCACCAAAATATAGAAGATTTAAATACCTTTGACATTTCCTTCATATATGCCAGCATTATGGATGCATTTAAGACTGTATTCGTAAGTAACTTCCTATTCATCCATGGAAACAACTTTTCATATTCTTTATAATAGGCTTTACTGGAGTTGGATTTTATACCTACCAACGTTTGTTTAGATTTTACAACAATCGATTTAATGGACGGTGTATTATCTTTTTCAACGGAAATCGTTTAATTCCTTAGACCATATAGTACATGGACTGCTAATTGTAACTAAAATATTGTCAAGGACATCGCCTGGGTATGTGAGTTTCAGGGTAAACGAGTCTGTCCGAAGTTGTCCGCTTAGACACGATTTGAGATTGTCAACCTATAAATTAACAAACGTCACTTAATTAATCGTCTAGATATGGCAAAAATAGCAAACCTGTTCTTATTTGTGGACGTATAGAAGATAATCAAGAGTATTTAAAGCGTCCCGTACTACGCGGTTACCATAAAAGCTACTATTTACGCGATCCGACTGGTGTTCATACGGCATTAGTTTACCCTGAGATTCACATACCCACGACTACAGTGCCCTCTATCCGTGACCACCCATTTTGTATTGAAAGCATAGGGCTAATAGCAGTCCATGTACTATATGGTCTAAGTTTAATTCACAAAGACGATGATTTTTATAAGCAAACGTCAAGTGACATTTCCATGGCAATCGTGAAATTTACGAACACCCAGCCCACTTAATTAGACATGTATTCGAGTATAACGTCAATATGACTTCATTGTATTTCCTATTTTTAAATTATACTGTAGGTATAGTAAAATAGTTATTTATGCAATGAGTGTATAAATGAGGCGTTTTATTGGTGAGTGAGATGTCGCTGCGCTCGTGGACTAAATTCGAACGAACCAATAATCGCCGATTTATAGGTACATGAATTGCATACAACGTTTCGACTTCACCGGGGTAGGTAATTTTAAATTCAACTACAAGAAATTACAAACGAAATTATGAGCTCCGACGATTTTTCACTAAATTACAGCTATTGTCGTTGCTATAGTAATGTGTTGTTTTCTGCTGTACCGTCAGTCCTCGTAATCGCAGTGGAAGATTATGTTGCTTGCTCTGCTGCGGAGACGATTTTAACATTATATCCACTCAAATCAAAAGAAACTTATTAGA